GCAGCTGCTGAATTCTCTGTCCAGCCATGGCCTCTGGTAACGGTGGGAGCTCTAACACAGCTTCTCTCTGGCTCTCAAGGACACATCACCATTGTCAACTACCTCCTGAACTACTACCCTGCCCTGGAGGTGGACCAGAGGGACCCGCGGGGGCTGACGGCGCTGATGAAGGCGGCGGTGCAGGGGCGGCAGGACTGCGTCACCGCCCTGCTGCTGGCAGGTGAGTGTCCCCAGAGGGGGACAGCGATCACATCTGCTCTGGGATCTCATCTCCTCTGGGACCTGGTGTGCTAATCACATCTGCTCTGGGATCACATCTCCTCTGGGACCCTGGTGTGCTAATCACATCTGCTCTGGGACCCTGGGTGTGGCAATCACCTCTCCTACGGGATCACATCTCCTGTGGGACCCTTGGTATGCCAATCACATCCCCCATAGGATTCTGGTGTGCCGATCACATCCCCCAGAGACCCTGGGTGTGGCAATCACATCCTCTGGGACCTTGGGGGTGGCAATCACATCTCCTCTGGGACCCTGGGTATGACAATCACATCCCCCATGGGATTCTGGTGTGCCAATAACATCCCCCAGAGACCTTGGGTGTGCCGATCACACCCTCTGGGACCCTGGGAGTGCCGATCACACCCTCTGGGACCCTTGGCATGCCAATCACATCTACCCTGGGACCCTGGGTATGTCAATCACATCCCCCATGGGATTCTGGTGTGCCAATCACATCCCCCAGAGACTTTGGGTGTGCCAATCACATCTCTGGGACCCTTGGTGTGCCAATCACATCTCCTCTGGGATCACATCTCCTCTGGGACCACTGGGTGTGCCAATCACATCCCCCAGAGACCCTGGGTGTGGCAATCACATCTCTGGGACCCTTGGCATGCCAATCACATCTCCTCTGGGATCACATCTCCTCTGGGACCCTGGGTATGCTAATCACATCCCCCAGAGACCCTGGGTGTGGCAATCACATCTCTGGGACCTTGGTGGTGGCAATCACATCTCTGGGACCCTGGGAGTGGCAATCACATCTCTGGGACCCTGGGTGTGCCAATCACATCCCCTATGGGACACTGAGCGTGCTCTCTGCTGTCCCCAGGAGCTGACCTGCAGGCTGTGGATGCCGTCAAAGGGAAGACAGCCAGGGAATGGGCAACCTTCACCGGCCGCTTCGAGACCACCGTGCGCATCCGGAGCCTCCTGCGGCGCCCGCGCGCCGAGCAGTTCGCAGCCCAATACCAACCCGAGTGGCCAGCGCTGGCCGAGCTGGTGGCCAAAGCCCTGAGCCCCAAATCCAGGAGCAAGAGGCTCTCGGAGAAGATCAGATCCATCTTCACCTTCAACATCCCGCGGAACCCCGAGGAGGACGGCGTGCTGGACCACATGGTGAGGATGACCACGGCCATGGGCAGCCCCTTCGTGGCCACCGCCTGCCAAACCGTGTGCCCCGACAGCCCTCCCGAGGTGGGCAAGCGCCGCCTCTCGGTGCAGGAGATCCTGGGGCAGCACGTGG